ACTGTAAGTACCGTGCTCGCAGTGCACACACACTTACGTTAGCATTAGAAGAAGAAAGCCAGGAAGTAAGGGACTGGGCTGGCTCTGTGTTTGAGCCACCTCCTGGTGGGCTGGTGCTGGCAATGCCTCACAGCCGCCCTGGTCCTCTGTCTTCACAGGAAGTGAGGCTGCATCAAGGGTAGAACCGCAAAATCAAGATCTTCTGGCCCAGAACTTTGTAAGGAAAAAAGTGTCGTTTGCTTGGGATGTGAACAAAAATCGTTTCAAATCATTGTGTTTGAGTCAGAGAAATAGTGTGAACAAAAAGAGACAAATTTAGATTTCAACACATTTTTATATATATATACTCATTATACATACATATTCCACATAAAATAAAACGTAAAGCGCGTTTTTTGAACTTCTAAAGTGAAAGTAAAAATAAATACGTGTCTCAGTGATTCTCATCAGCCCCAGATGCACAGGGCAGTGCAGTTTTCATTTCATGAGGTCTGTCATGTTCCTCATGACTCCCGGCATGCTCTCTAGTCCTGTTCACTCAGAGTGAGGCCATTGTCAGGCCGCTAGGGAATGTCTTTCCTCTCTGGTCAGTTCAGGGCAGAAGGTGGGAGTGCGGCGCCTGGTTATCCTGGCGATGCTGCCGGGTGAGAGGCCAGGGTTAGCATCCCCGGCTGCCAGGAGAAAGGAACACTGTCCCTCTGGGGAGGAGCCATTGTTCTCGTAAATGTCCTCTGGCCTCCAGCAGATTGGGAAGATGGTATAAAGATGAACTCTCTGAAGTCAGAGGAAACAAACCACCATCAAAGTGTGCAGAAAGAACAAGTAAGAAATTAGTCGCCCAAGATCTTCAAGTATTGAAATTATGGGACTCACAGTATAAAATTACTGAAACACATGGAAGTAAATAAAATGATAAACCACAAAAAAACAAGCAAAAACGAAACAGAACAATGCACAGGCAGAATTTAAAAAGAAGCAAAGAGAACTTCATTCAAGAAAAACAAGAATGAGTAGCTGAATTGATTAACTTAAATTCTAGATTTGACTGCTGGAGGAAAACTAAATGGATCTAAGGAAATTGCCCAGGTTATTTCAGAAAGGGGAAATAAGGGAAAAATACTTTTTACAAAAGCTTAAGGGATTAGAAGGTAAAGTGAGAAAGCCTAACACTCTTTCCCCAGCCATGGGTTTGCTATGGAGAAGTAGTAAAGAAAATCCAAGGCAGCGGAAGTGCCCAGTGGATGTGCAGTGGGGCAGTGTCCTGCAGCCGTGGAAATGGGTGCTCCTACAGGTCCTAGTGAAGATTGTGATCTCGTTCTGCAGACAGGACAGCTGAGAGCTGTGGACACATCCCTGTGATGGTAGCACTGATAAAAGTCACAGAATTACAGGTGCGGAGAACTAGCGCAGTGTGTCAGCTTCCCACATGCTTCTGGGCAGACCTTGACCTGGCCCAGTGTGGATGTCTCCCGGCCGCAGGGTGCTCCACGCTCACTCAGCATCCCAGTGCCCACGTGGGCTGTGCCCACTTCCTGCTTGCTTTGCTCAGGAGGCTTAGAGGCCTAGCTTTGCATTTAAAGAAATAATATGTTATCCAGCACATTGGCGTTTCTAGTATTGCATTTTTTCTCCTTGGCTGTGTTGCCTGGGCAGGAGCTCTGTTTGTTTCGTTGTATCAATTCTAGCAAAGCTCTAGCCCTGATTTCTTTTCTTATGAGTATAAATTTTTGCCTTTTCCTAGGTTAATGAGTTTATATTGAATGAGTAACCTGAAATGATTCCAGAAGTATTTGTTAGTGTTTCCTCTGTGAGTCCACAGTCTGCTTTTGACAGTGACTGTTCGCATGTGGGAATAATGTCATACTCTCAAAATCAGGGAATTATAAAACATGATCGAGAGAGCAGTTGGAAATTGAGGCTTTTCATTGAGACAATTGTGGATACCATGGTCATTTTAATATAATAATTACAACAATGGTTAACATTGAGAATTTACCATTCATTATCTGGATTTTTTATGAAAACTATTATCATTTTACAAAGACATGATGGTATTCCTTCTATTTCTGAAGTGATTTCTGGTCTGTAAAGCCATTTCATCTATACTGGTGTACCCCCTGGTCTGGCGGCTCAGATACTAACCACTTCGCAGTTTACCCCAGGCACCCCTTGACAGTGTGTTTGTTTATGTACTGTCTGTGCTAAGCATCACTTGGACAGGTGTCATTTCAACCAGGCAGTGCTTGTATTGAAGAAATTTGACAGAATTGTCATTTTCGTATTTCCTGTTACATTATCTTATAAAAATTAATGAAAAAATATTCAATTTTTGGTCATTCTATAAAAAAACAGTGGGAATGGTAAATGATTCATATGTGGGTAGTTGACAGATGAGACTCTTACCTCAGAGCTGTTAAATGGTGTGGGTGAGATTGCAGAGCTGGTCTTTGTTCAGTTGATTGGAGTAACTTTTCTTAGTCTTCTTCCTAACTAGGGTCTTCTGGTTCAGGAACCTTAGAAGTCTGGTGTGTACTTAAAATAAGTATAGGTGCCCATTGTCCAAGTGTGGTGTGATTCACAACTGCCAAAGCCGTGTCCTCGGAGGAGAGGTGCCTCCTGCTTTGCTCTATGGACAGGGCAAGCAGCAGGAGGCTAGAAAGCAGTGACGCAGGCTCGGGATAGGCGTGGACACTTGTCCTGCCTGTGGGCAGGTGCTCAGTTCCCCCAGGACCTCTCTGCCTTCACCTGCATATTTGGGATGTTTGGGAAGCACGACCTTTAAGCCCTGATGGTCTGCGTTTTCATACAGTTCCCTCCTGAAAATTACGGGATAAGGAGTAAAAATGAGGAGAGATGTTTGATGGTTTTTTTTCTTGCGGGGATGTGGGTGGTTCTGGGAATCAAACTCAGGACCTTGCACTTGCCAGGCAGGTGCTTATGCCACTGAGCTATCTCCTTGGCCTGAGGAGAGATTTTTGAAAAATCGTTTTAAACTTTTCCTAATAATTAAACAAGTGAAACACATAGTTGTTTAAAATTAACCTGAAAATGAAATTAAAAATACTATTCTATTTCCAATCCTTTTTTCAATTCCAATTGCAGTAGAAGACACACTGTTTGCAAGGTGAGAACAAATAAAGTATTTATAAACTAACGAGAAAAGTGTAAAAATATGTCCCTGGACACTGCTAAACATTACTGAAAGAAATTTTAGATGACCTGACTAAGTAGGCATTCTATATTCATGCTTTTGAAAGCATAAAATTGTTAGGTGGGACTCCTGCACGTTGTTTACCAGTAACCAGGAACATGGAGACTGTTTCAAATTGGGAGCACTGTCTGATAACTTAAAATCCCTACTATACCCAATATGTTTTGCACTGATAGTATAACCCTGATAGTGAAGTAAAGACAGACATCAAAAGACCTAAATTTAATTTAAAAATTAAGTTAATTGTTATAGGCCAATAGAAAATTCAAAATAAAATTTTGCTGACTAGTCATAGATTTAGAATTGTGTCTAATAAATGTGTCTTCATTTTAAAAGGCTTTCCTGAAGGATCTCTGTGTGCTTATAAACTGCTTTGGAAAGTTTAAACTTTCATTCTTCATGAATCATATGAATTGCTAATGGAAATTAAATATTTGGATTTCCATGGCAGTCTTACTGTATTTTGTAATGACATGGCATTGGTATACGTGTATATACCAAGCTGGTGTAGTAAGTCTAGTATGTGCTTGAACTTGTGTAGGCCACATTCGTGACAATATTTAGAAACCCTATTTAGAAATACTCGCCTTATTCCTGTGCCAGTTTCTCAAGAAGCTAAAACCTTATGTCACATTTGCCTCCTGCTTCATCTGCAAAAGAACAAAGATAAAGTTATTGATATGTGATAAGTTATGATGTTAATGTTTCTGAATTGTATGAACCCATTTTGAACTAGCTCATATGTATGTTACTACCTTGAGAACTTGGCATTAAATAATGTTCTTTGATAAGGTTGCCTACATACCGGGATTCACATAAAAAGTTCCTTTGTGATTTTCTAAACCAAGAAAAGTCAGGAGTGTGCCTGTAGTCCTAAGAGCCTGGGGCAAGACGATCACTTGAGCTCAGTAGTTTGAGACTCATCTCTAAAATAAAAATATAATAAAATAGGCTTTCATTAAAAACCAGAAGACAAAAACAAAAACAAAAACAAAAACAAAAAACAAAAACAGAAGACATTAAAGTAATTTAAATACTTTCTTCAACTTATGGTACCTTTTATCTGGTCAGTTCAAAATGTTTATACAAAATTCAGGAGCCCATTTCTGTAGATAACACTTATATAAAATTGGAAGATGGTGTGGTAGTGAGTATAGTACAGAGAAACTTTCGACTTGAAACCTTGTCATATTTTACATGTAGATGGCTCTGTAGGTTTGTAAATGAGAGTGATTACCACTTATTTTGTTAAGAGAAAGGCAGCCCAAATACATTTCTATTTTGTTTCCCTTAACTAGTTATACCCTGTGAACTAAGTTACTTTCCCCCCTCTTCCCATGGGCCCCAAAATAGCCTTATTAATAGGAATATATGATGTTTGTGTTCTTAAAAAAAATCAGGGTGGTCTTAGATGTATGTCTTCCTTTCTGGCATTTCCCTTTATGCAGCCCTTTAGACTTTTCTGTTTAAAAACTGGCATTCCAATAGCTTTTCTTTGGCCTAATGCCTGGATTGCATATTGAAGCAGCAAATTAGGAATGTTAAGATGTCCCCCAAAGAAAAAATGTTTGTTATGAAAGTAGAGCTGATGTGACACTTAGAATTAGAGCTTCTTAACTTGTCTAAATGACAGTTAATGATCTTTTTTCCTTTTCTTTTCTTTTCTTTTTTTAAGGGGAGGGGAACGAGAATGAAAGAAATGCCCAGAGGCTGATACTGGGTTTGGTTCACCAAACTGTTAAATGTCAGAATGTGCTCCACTGATAATACATCTTTTGTCTCTTTTTAGGAGCTAATTTCGTTACTCGAAAAATTAGCCGGTCAGTAGCTAAGATTTACCTTGGACAGCTGGAATGTTTCAGTTTGGGAAATCTGGATGCCAAACGAGACTGGGGCCATGCCAAGGACTATGTGGAGGTAGGAGCTGCGTCGGCAGCTGTTGTGGGCCAGGCCTGCAGGTAAAAGGCATGACCAAGGGGTGGTGACACAGGAACTTCGATAATGTGCGTGTGTTTACACTCATGCTGGTTTCAGTTTAAACTGGGTGGCTCGGGAGTACATATTGCTTATACTGACTGTTATTTGAATGAGGAAATTGTTCCCAAATTGTCTTTTATTTAGTTAAATCAAAGGTGCTGGTCACTGTTTTGGGTGGTGGACTGGTAAACAGCTGGAAAATGTGAGCGTTGGTCTTCTTCACTTGCTGGCACTTTTCTCATTGCTCCACCTGCTCCTTCCCCGCCACCCAGTGCTCGCACTGTCAGTGGTGAAAGAAGAAGGTACTGGTTTTCAGACCTTCGAGGAATAATGCACAATCTGTCTGTATCAGCTAAGAGCTTGAATTTGCCTTATTCCACAAAGTCCCTGAGAGTCGTATTCTCAGGGAACTCAGTTTCTGCTGCTCAGTCTGTGCCACTCGCCCCACGCCCCCACCCCTGTGTGCCAGTGAGCGTGGCCCCTCAATGGACATGTTGCTGATGACGCTTCACAGAAGATGGGCAGGGGTGAAGGGAGGCTCAGATGTTTTGCCCCGGGGATTCCTCTGCAGTTACGTTTGGGTTTGGGTTACCAAGTTATGTATATGAATGGTGTGATTTTTCTGTTATAAAAACACATGGTTATATTTTCCTTTTCCCTGATTCGTATGCTTTTAAATTTCCGTGTCAGTTCTGTGAACAGACATGAATGAGCACGGTAGGGAAATTCTCTGGAGTTGCCTATCCTCCAGGGGCTCACAGACTTCCTGTGCTCAGGAGTCTCTTCTGTCCTGAAGGGTTCTTATCTGGGAAACCAGATCTGGCTTCCTTGTGCATTAATGCCATTCAAAAAGAAACTCAAACTTTTACAAAAGAAAGCAAACACAGAGTTCACTTGCTAACACAGAGGTCGGCTTCACCCATGGTTTTATTTTTGTTTATAACAACTAAAAATGTGTATTGCTGAAACACTTGCTATTGTATATTATGGGGAAAAAGTTAATTTAAAACATTCAGCAGCTTAATATTTTGATCATTTGAACTACAAACCTATAATTACAAAGAACCCTTGTATAGCAGTAGTCTTTAGATATATTTCAGGAATATTTAAAAGTATATATGTCCATACTTGTAGATATTATAAGAAAGTAGGAGAATGATGAATGTAGAACATAAAACTTTCTTGTCTAATTTGAGTGGCCTTTGCCACTAAAAATAGAAGACAAATTTTCCAAAAATAAAAGCGTTGCTTTCTTAGTGATATCACTGTGGTGTGTAGCCTGCTAGCAGTCAGGGTGTGCTTAGAGCTGCGTGGACAGCTATACCCGGCACTTCTCCAGATTCTGTAACCCACTTCCCTCTATGCAGATTCTTTCTCCATTCAGGCACCAAATAGATTACATTTCGTTAGATTTGGTTCTGTCTTGTTCCACTTGGGCGAAAGAGCAGTTTATGTTAGAACTCAGAAATCTATGAGATTTTGGTAGTGAGGGAACTGCCACCCCAATGTGTGGATGGTACCTGTTGCTGGTTATGTTTTATTTTCTTCTGTATGTTTTCTAGACCTTTAAAATGAATGTGTATAAATTTTTGCAATCAGGAGGCGCGATGACATATTTCAGATAAACCAAAAAAATCCCATAAATAGGAATGAGACTACTAAATAATTAGGCAGGCAGTAAACCTTGTGTGAAGCAGAAGTACATAGTGCTGTCTTCTCACTCTCCCAGGGCCAACCCCGACACTGCTCAGGGAGCAGCCCAGACCGTGGCACAGAGGGTGCACATCTGTATTCATATAAAATGAAAGTATTTGTCAAACAGTTTGACTTATATACTTTAAAAAGTTTGTCCTAAATAAAGTCGTTTTCATGACTGCTTGACTAAATGGAGTCAGTTCAGAACACCCAGAGAGGACAGAATATCCCCCAAGATTAAGGAAGTTAGGCCTTTTAATAAAATTGTGAAATTGTTACATTCTATGGACATATACATGCGCGTGTGCATGCACACACACATGCGCGCACATGCACACACACACGCGCGCACACATTCTCCTTGACAACCAAGGCTTGAGTTGTTCCAGGAGACAAGTGGGTTTTGTATATTAAGGATTCTCCTGGGGTTCTAACAGTAACATATGTTGATGATGTAAGAAGCATTTTATAGTTCTCATTTATGTGTTCTGAAAAAAAGTCTAAATTTCTGAAAAGGAACCATTATTAAATAAGAATCCATAATTTGCTACTCTATGTAAAGAAATACTAAGATTCTTTGCAATTCTAAATATATTAAAATGAGGTTACTTCAGAGACTTATGGCTAAAATTAAGTTTGTAGCCAAAATGAAAGCCAGCAATCATAAAATTGAAAAAAGCCAGGCACTGTTTGTTTTAAAACACATGGGCATCCTGAAAGGATAAGCAGCCTGAGGATGGAGAACTGTTTGGCAAATGTATCAAACAAATCATAAGAGTATCTCACTTACACACATCATCATCATATAGTCCTGCTCATTTAAGCACTAAAATGTTGCAAACCCTTCATGTGAAGTAATGATGGCGAATAGAGAACATTTGTCCTTTGTGCTATGAGACAGGGTGCAGAGGATCCCAGCCATCCCAGTGAATTGCTCAGCTGCACAAGTCTGTATATCTCAGTTTACCCATCTTTGAAAAGGATATAATAACAACCCTGTAAAAAAAATTAGCACTACTGTGCTAGCCATACATGATGACAGCCTTCTTCTGTCTTGTAAACATTTTTACAACTTATAGTCATTTCCTGTTGCTAATTTCAATTCATTAACATCCATTTATAGTCCTGCTTACTAGATCAAAAAGCTTTAAAAATTATTTAAATAGATAAAATGTATTTCAACTTGAAATGAAAGAATATAAAAAGTATTAAATTATATTATCCTTTCAGAATAAGCAAGTTACAGGGAGTTACATCTTCTCTAATGGTTTATGATAAACATTTTTAAGTGTGTAAAGTGACTAAATAAATTTTACCCTGAACTCTCACATTCCCACCCAGATTCTGTAATTAACATCTGCAGACAATGCTGCAGGAAAAACTAGTACTTAAATAATTACTACAATGCTAATAGCTGTACATGCTTAATTTACACAAATAGAAGTTGTGAAAAATTCACATTTCTCATGTAGTTAGACTGCAGTTCAGACTTCTGAAATGTTGCCATTGTATGAACCCTTTGGCTGGGCTCCCCCAGCCTGTCTCTGTGTCTGCTCAGGAGGACATGGGTGGTGGGTGGGGGGAGAGACACCCGTCAGCCACCAAGGCCAAGGCGGCAGCCATCGCTGAGGCAGTGGGATCCGCAAACAGCCAAGGAAAACGTCTGACTTCTTGGGTGGCAGTGTTCCTCAGCATACGTTCTCTGAGCCCTGCTATGGTCACAGTCCTTCTTGCTGCAAGTGACAGTCTCAGGAGTTTTGTCCAGGGCTGAGTATGCCAGGGAAACGCATAAAGTTAAGCAGATCTCTTTATAGTGGGACTGACTGTTGAAAACTTACGATGTATGCGTGTGCTCAGATTGATATAGGGTTCCCCAAGCCAGTTTGACCTTGGCACCTTTTGCACAAAGAGTAAGTATGAACACTTGGCGGTACTTTACAGAGCTGGGAAATGGTAGCATGTGCTTGAGTAGAGTTTCTCGTAACAGTTTGGGTAACAAGCTCTCCCCTGTGGTCCCAATTGATAAGAGTCTGGAACATAGCTCTAGCCAGAACTCCTTTAGAGACCAGCAAACTCATAGGGGCTAGGCTAGAAATAAGCCTAGGCCCCTACTGATCGCACCAGGGTCCTTTGCCCTTGGGAGACCCAGTGACAAGAGACCTAAATCTGAGCTGTCCAGGATCAGCCAAAGCCATTTGTGAACTGGTGAGATGTTTTCTTGCCAACAGCCAGCCCCACAGATGCCCCTGGAGAGGTCTGCCGCCCAGAAGCAGTCCAGGGACATTCAGGTCGTTAGGGGCTGGCTTTAAAATCATCTGAATTAACATCTTATTCCTCCACCATTGGGGGTGAGTGGGTGGGGAACATGGACAGAAGTAACAGTTTTAGAAATAAGGCACTGCCGAGTGTTAGGCACTTACTACGTGCCGGAGACTTTGCTGTGGACTTCATTCACGTCATCTTGTAAATAGACACGAGAGTCCTGAAACAGATGAAGGAACTGAGGCACAGAGGGTTTTGTCTTTGTCCAAAGCTCTTGACAGGAAAGGTAAGTGGAGCCAGAGCTCCAGCCCGGGCCAGGTGCCTCACTCATTTATGTTGGTGCATTAGCCAGAGGATCTCGGTAATCTGTTTTGAATGAACCAGAAAATTACGCTTCTCTCCCTTTTCGCTTCCTAAAATTGGTGGCCCAGGAGGAAGAGAAGTAGCTGAAAGATGAGAATCTGGTGGAAAAGGCTGTCAGATCTTGCTGGACTTGAAATTCTAGCTGTGAGAGGCAGAGGTGCAAAGGGTGTGATTGGAGACACTGTGTGGTGAGGCCCCACCCCTGTGTCCATGTCCTCCGAGTGCATGACCTACACCGCAGTTCTCAGCTGCTGCGGGGCCCGGGAAAGCTGAGGACCAGCTGCAGAGGACACAGAGCCAGGAAGAATCTGTTGCCGTCTTCTTCCCCCTTTCCCCATCTCTCAGTCCACTGCTAGCCTTTTTTATACCCCATGATGCACAAATTTAAAGGGAAAAGATATCATTTAAAGTTTCTGAGATCTTCGTTAAGGGAAGTTGACAAGTGTGCAGCACCACCACCAACTGGTGTGTGTGCGTGTGTGTGTGTATGTGTGTGCACATGTGTTCACAGGACAGCATCATATAAGAGGAGCATCTTTTGTGTTACAGTTTTCTACAGTCCATGTCTTCCTAAGAGCTCACTGACAGAAAGGAGGGCAAAGGTCCACCTCGCTCACAGC